CGGGAGAGACCCCTACGCGACAGTCCTTCGCGTGACCACTGCCGCGCATTCTTTCGTTGGCTTTATGACAATCTTGCAGAGCCCTTGGCTGAAGGTGAAGCCTGTGAAGAGCTTCTTGTTCCAGTGAGTACTTCTGGTCCACCGGTCTCACCCCATGACCATGTAAAAAAAGATCAAGTACTGTATCCGTAGCCCTTTGGACCCTTAATTGCCCTAGGCTGTCTTCGGAGGACCTTGAGGGTGTGGACCATGGAAGGGACGACTACTTGGATTGGATCCACAAGAAGAACAACACCGAGGAGGCGGAGCCTGGCAGCTTGAAGGATTGCGACGCCACGCCTGTTGCAGCAGCGTGCATTGGGATTGCAACGTCGGAAGTGAGGTGTGTTGTTGCTGTTTGGACTGCGCGTTTCAACCTATAAATACAACCCTGCAAGATTGGAAGTGAGGCTATATAACTATATATGTATATGTTACACGTGAAAACATTGTCATGTCTGATATGCATCTATGTTGAAGATCGGAGGCAACCTTTAATCTTCCGGAAGAGCATCAGAAAAGGGGTCTGTAGACATAGTAATAACCTTGGCAGTTTGCAATTCCTTTTCCCCAAGGTGGCTCCATCCCGTGACGATCCCGGAGCTGTATGATATGTACGGGACACATCGCCAAGGTGAAAAGATAGCTTCGGTATCAGTCTTCCGACAAGAGTTCAAGCACTGGAAATCTGTCTTGAAAGTTCGGCACAACAACCAGCACGCTCGATGTACCACATGTGCCTTGATTTCCTTGTGCTTCTTATTGGAAGAGTTCTTTAAACGCAAACTCTTTGCGCTGACTGGGTGGTTTTAATTTTGACATCAGGTGCACGGCTATCCCAGTGGAGGAAGGCTTGTCGCACCACAGAGGATAAGAAAAAGGTCATGCAGGCTAAGACTGAGCACGTGGCCGGTGTTTTTGCAGATCGAGGCTGTGCAAGGCGTTTGATGCTGGCTTCTGAATCAGCTGGCAGGGCAGACTTGCAGCTACCACGGGATAAAGCCTGCCTGTACATAAGTATTGATGGCATGGACCAGGTCGGGTTCTTTAAACTAGTCTTGAACTCGGTGTTGCCAAACCAGAATCTACAGCACTTTCCCTTATCTGTCATTGCATCGTAACTATTGATTGCGTGTCCCTTGAGGCGAAGTTCAAGACCCCGAGAAATATGGCATCGTCAAAGGAGTTTTCCACAGCATACCGACCAACTCTACACATGGTCGGAGCAGTTTGCCACGGAGTTTGCGAGGTGTATTACCTGTGCCACAGTGATCAACGAAAGGACTCCAACCAAAACATGTCCTTGCTGTGCGCCTAGGTTGATATCAGTGGTGCGCCTTCCTTTGATAATTTTCAACTCTGGTCAGAGACCCATACCCCAAGGAGCGCTTTTTAAGCAGGACCATCCATTGAAACCAAGTACTGCCGGCCACCGCTGCCCGCAAGGTCGTACACTGCAGATTGCCAAGGAGGTGTTGGCCAAGAGGGGGCTGGAACTCCCACATCATTGTGCGTTTCAAGCAGATAACACCTGTCGTGAACAGCGCAATTCCTGGACTTTTCTGTTTTCGTCTTGGTTGGTAGCGCATGGAATCATGAGGACTGTCGATGAGCTCTATTACCGAGTAGGGCATACACACAACGAGTGCGACCAAAGGTTCTTTGTGATTGCGTCGGCTTTGTCGCGAGAACCAACGCTTCAGAGCCCAGAGGACAGACTACTCCAAAACAAGTGAGTTTCAAGTAAATCCACCCCCAATAGAGTTTGAAAGGTTCAGCGGTTCGGTATACCTGGGCGCGCTGCCCTTTCTGGCGTGACTCGGCATCAGGAGTTCAGGGATTGCATCTTGAAGGTGGAACCGGTGGCTGGCCGCGAGCTTTTCTGCGAGGTGGTGGGGGATACCCACAACTGGCAAGAGTTCTTGCTGCCTGCCGATGTCCATATGACTGGGTTGACGATTCAAAATCAGATGGAGTCTGTAAACCACGGCTTTCGGTTCATGAAGCGCTCTGACTTGAAGTACTACAAAGGGCATGAGCCTTGAATGAGGTTTATGGGAATGGAACCTTGGGAATGGGCAGGTTTCTGGGCGCAACTAACCCCCAAGCACTACCAAACTTGGGCTATGTTAAAAAAAACCTTTTTACAGCAAAAAGGTTTTTTTAACATAGCGCAAGTTTGGCAGCGCTCATTGAAAGCAACAATTGGTCCCATCGTAGCATGTCACCAAGCTACAGCACTTGACCTGTGCATGGCTAGCTGTTTTGGCTCGAGCACTGAAGACTTTTTGTCAGTGATTCTTATTTCCAGAGATGGCAGAAACCCTTGAAGACATATTGTGCTACACATGCTGGAGGGTCTGGCATGTACTAGGTGAGACTGGGGCTATGATGGAACGGCTAGAGCGTTCAAGGGAAGCATGCAGGAATGTGTGCGAGGCACTTGGCATGAAACCAATGACCGCACACTTGTCAAAGTGGTGGCAAATTGTGACTACTGCACAGGTGGCCCACAATAACCCACAGTACCCGTACACTCGTGTCGAGCTTGTCCCGTAGCAGGGAAGAGCTCCTGCAACTCCCACCAAGACCGCTCCCATTTCGGCCCTTCTGGACTTGCCTTTCATTGGGTACTTAAAAAGTGACCTTGAGGACTTCGTTGAGCTGTTGCGCATGATCGAGGCTGGCCTGCGTTTCCTTCATGTTGGACTCAGGGAGGCTCAAGTCAAAGCATGGCTTGGAAACCTCAGAGAAACAGTGACTGACATTGCTTCAGTGTGCCACTTGCGCCCCAACCCCCATCGTGGACCGGCCCCAAGTCAGGTTCCTTCTGGGGGATCTTAGCCTTGTGCCCCACAGTGCCAAGGGATTGTCGACTTTTTTGTCCTTGCAAGTGAAGGCCCTGTCAATATAAGGACCCAACCACAATCATTGCAGGGAAAAAGAAAAGAGTGCGCTCATTGGGGGTCGTTGACACCGACGCGACATCTGTCTTGGGGGCAACTAAGCTACCTAGAGAGGTTGAGAGGACACAAAAGGGTCCACACTAGAAGCAAGTGTGGACCCTTTTGTGTCCTCTCAAAAACACCGGTTGGTATCTAGAGAGCAGGCATCGTTTGAGAAGACAGGCCAGCTTTCATCCAGCCCAGTAGTGTCAAGTTCTTGCTGAAGTGGGTCACTGGTGTAATTTTTCGCTCAGACTTGACAAAAGAAACCCCCTGCCAAAGAGGGGGCGAGGGGGGGTTTCAAATTAGACTTGGAGTGGTTGTATTTTTTCTGTTCGAGGCTGAGCGGAAAATTGAAAGTCCACTCAGGGAGAGGGCTCTGAGTCCGTTTTGGGGGGGCAATTGATCTTCGTTTCTCCATTCCGTGCGCCCGAGGAACATTGGGAGGTTGAGGAAATCAAAGGCCGGAACATGAGTGAGGACGACGTGGTGCTACTTGTGAAGCAGTATATGAACCACACATGTTTGGCCCAGCAACCCATGACCATCCTGAGCCAGACCACTTTGGATAGCATGCCAATTTCAGGGCCCAATGGCATTCTTCGGCGAAATGTCATGAATGAAAAGCTGGTCAAGGAGTACCAGAAAACCGCAAACCTTGTTGAGCAAGAACCATGGTGTTTACATGTAGCCGCCAACTATTTGCGAACCTGGACGTCCGAGAACCAAAACCAAATCCAAAGGCGACCTCCACAGTTTCAGTTTGAGCCATTGTCTCTGACCAGCCTACAATCCGCGCTGACCCTGGAACACGAGCTGCTGCAAGAGTTTGCACCAAACCAGCCAAAAATTGTGGCCGTTGAGCAAGGCCCACCTGCACTCCCCAAGCCAAAGGCAAGTCCCAAGGCTCAAGCAGCAAAGGCAGCGCCGAAGCCAAAGTCACAGGGCCTGTGCAAAGCAAAGGCAAAGCCGAAGGCAAAGGTCAAGGCAGCTGCCAAACCCAAGCCGAAGGCTAAGGGTAAAGCGAAAGCGAAAGCTAAAGCAGCAGCATCAGCAACAGCAGCAGCGCCTGGCCCATCAAACCCCTTGGAAGATGAAACTCTGAGGTCTAAGTTAGAACTTTTTGGCATTGAATTGAAATACTACTACTTCCTAAGTTGCAAGCTTCCAACATCAGAATTCCATGGCACGCTTCGGACTACTGCTCTGTCTGAGGACCAGCCTGATTCTGCTTCAGCACCTGCTGCGAAGAGAGGCCGTAAGCGGAAACCTCAAACCAGCTTGGGCTGCTCAAAGCGCCGGTATAAGTCTGACGGATGCGGTCGCTGTCGCCGTCTCTTTCAAGACTGGCAGCAGCATGCTGCGGGAGTCAATTAGATTAGCAGCTGAGATTCAGTGTTAGAAGCGCTGACTGCTTAGATCTGACCGGCTTTCTTTTGGGGTAAAATGGCAAAATGCCACAAACTAGCACACTCCTGTTGAAGTCTTTTCAAAGTGTGGCCGGCCTTCCACTGGGCTTTTGTTGCACAATCACAACTGGTCAATGAATGAGCATCTCTTGACAACTCAGGTTTGTTTGACCCAGAGGGCTGGTGGGGAAACACTTTGGCCAAAAAGGCACAAAAACTTAGTGTGGCTGCCATCGGAAACAAACAGTTGATTTGCAGCAGCTCCAATCTTGGGCAGTGAGCCTTTTAGCAAAGGCTTTGCCTGACAGAATGAAATAATGGGTAGGTAAAGCCAAAGCCATCTTTTGAAGGCGTTTACATATTCAACCGGAGCTTTACCTACGAAACTCTTTTTTGTATGTTTTGCTTCCATTGGACATGCACTTTGCCACTTAGCTCGTGGCTCAGACCTGGAGTGCTTGTAGAAGCTGCTATTTCCTGGCAACAGTAAGGACAGATTTCGCTTTGGGGCAAAGCTGGCAGAGATAGATTTGAGCTAATTGGAATCAATGTGGACATGTGTATTTTGTAGAGCCAGGACCCAATGCTGTTCGACAACTTGGAAGACATGGACATCGAATCACCTGTCCACCAGAGCCCCAGTCCAGTGCCTCAAGGAGCTCCACACCTGCCCAGTGATGTTAGTAGCGACCTGAGTCAGAGCGATGATGAGCTGTCAGAAAATCGCACCACCCCTGCTGACATTGCAGGAAATTTTAGTCTGGTCCATCGTGCATGGATTCTGAATCGGGTACGCTTTCATGCCCAAAAGGTATGCGAAGTCTTCTCACCCCCCAGAGTGACTTTGGCAGCACACAGGGCAGGTCACACAGCCGATTTCGCCTTTGACATCACGTACAATGGTTGGGATGCTTTGGATGCTACCATGCGGATTGAGCTCCGTCAGATCATTCGTGAAATGCGTCCTACACTGCTGGTCTTGAGTCCACCATGTACGATGTTTAGCCCCTTGACCAGGCTGGATGCCAATTTCTGTGCTGATATAGAATGCAATGACAGTCAGTACATACAGCGTCACCCGGGCCTGCTGTGTATGATGTAATAGGTATAATAGATACAGGTAGCTGTTTTGAGTGCTGTCTCACATCAGGATGTGGAATCGGGACAAGTGGACACCTGAAGAGTATGCCATGCGAAGGGAGGCTGCCGAGTGTATGTTCGACTATGCGCTGGACCTTGCAGCAGACATGGAACTTGTGGGCCGTGGCTTTGTCTTAGAGCATCCGGCGCCAGCCTCGTCGTGGGAGCGGCCCAAGGCTCAGGCCCTGCTTGCCACACCCAACATTCGAGCTACAAACTTCGACCAGTGTGCCACAGGACTGCTGTCACCCAGCGGTGCTCCTATGAAGAAAAGAACAAAACTTCTGTCGAATGTGGGCCCTATCCACACCCTCTTTGCACAGCGGCAATGCTCGTGTGTGACACAGCACCGCACCATCCAGGGCTCTGAGTGGGGAGTGCAACTTAGCACATGGGCCCAGCGTTACCCCGACCCCATGTGCAATTTGATTGTTCAGGCTGCGGCCCAATGGGCTGACTAGCAGCCAGCCTCAATGACAGCCTGCCAATCGGCATCGGCCACCCGTTTTGGACAAGAGGTGGCAGAGACCTTGCTGAGGGGAAGAAAACCAGCGCTTTAGAAGTGACTAGAATATCGTCCTAAAATTTGCTCGCCCCAAATTTTGGGGAGGACCCGATGTGAAAAAAAAATTACATATCAATCCTAGCTGGTCTCTGATCTTGCATGTACCAGAGATGTGACGGAAAAAAAATTTTTCGGTACATCTTCTTGGGACTACCGAGGTTTCAGTGCAAATTACCATTGGCAAAACTCAACCCTGAGATCCACCAATTTTATATCTACTGGCAGAACTTGTACCGAAAAAAATTTTTTCCATGACATCTCTGGGTGGACCAACTCAGACTTGGACATCTCATGGGACTTCAAAACTTTTTTGTTGCACTGGATCTTCACTAAAAAAATCGAAGTCGTGATAGTCACTGTGCTTGGGAATTGATTTTGCATGCTCGGTTCCAGGGTTGCGAATATCAAGTTCCGTGAAGTTGCCCTTAGTCCACTTTCAAAGTGTTCCTGGAGGGCGCGTCTATGTCGTCCACAGCCAGCGTGGCAGAATCCAACACAGTGAACCTTGCCTGGGATCTTCAAGAGGCTCGAGGCGATGTGCACCAAGAGGCCTATGCCAAGGCAATGCGTGAAGGGATGGCCAAGGTTTGCAAGGAACATGGGGGCCCCGAGAATTTTCTTCGGGTGCGTTTCCAAGCTCAAGAACAGTTGAGGGATTGGCTGAACTACCTCCTGTTCCTGATTCCTTATGATTCAGCTGGGTTCAACTTCTCTGACGATTTGCCTTCTACGAGCATGGACAGTGTGAGACAGGCAGGGGCAGTATACGGAACGCACACATTTAGCTAGCAGCGATAATAGCAACTCAGGCCTGTATACTAGCCTGGGTGGCCCCACTTCTTCCTTACAGAACTGACCTTTAGACAGGCCAAGCAAAACAACCTGTTTATCAACTGTTAAAAGCAATAATGTTTGCGCAACAATGGTCCCAACTTGAGGACAGGTGCACCTAAGGGTTCTTTCTTCTTTAAATAGTGATTGGGGGGCTATTGAGACGACCCTTCCCACTAATTTTCCATTTTGTTTGGCCAAAGCCTTGGCGCGGGCCCCTTGCCAAACAAAGTGGAAAATTGGCAGTGATTCACGGCTGGACTGAGAGTTTCTGTCTACATATAAAACTTGGGGATTGGTGGCTGACAGATTTCCAGAGCCAGCTGGGTCATTAGACACTGCCGGGATCGATAATACCTAACTGATTTCAAGAACCCGTCGGATAACATTTGGCAGGCCGAGGTTTTCTTGCTACACCCAGCTGTCTTCAGCTATGCGCCTGAAGCGTCGGTCAAAGGGCCTGCCGAGAATGACATTGTGCGTTTGATGATGGAGGAGATTCTCACTGATGGCTTTGTGACATCGGGTGAACCTTTATTGGTCATCCAGAGTGAACTCTTGAGCCAAGGCCCCCCACAGGCCAGCAATCTTACCAATGGCATTGGCCAACAACTGTTTTGAACACTCATAAACCAAGACAAGTTGTGAGGCCCTGAAGGGTGTGCATAATAGCTTTCTGAGCGGCAATGGTGTATTGCAAGAAATACCACTCAGCATCTAAGCCCCACCAAGCCCCCACTTGCCCAAAAAAGGGTAAAACTTGTGGGTCAAAAAGGCCTAAGACATTTTTGGAAGACATTGTATCATAAAGCTTGTGACCTTTGTTGGGAGAACCCGGCCGGCATCAGGCTGTGACTGCACCTTGGAGGAACGAAGCCCACACGATGATGCCTTTCAGCCTCGGCTATTTCAAGGCGAAAACGCGAGTCACCGTGCTCATGACCATGCTGGCGCTTGCGCGCGACATTGGCTGTGACAATTACGCTGAGGCTGGAAAATAGACTCTTAGTTAGAGTAACTGAATCACTCTATATGTATATATATATATAGTTTCCTGCTAATCTTCAATTTGTTGTCATAAAGAAAGGTGACAAATAACATTATCCCATGTTTAAAGTCTCTGTGAGAAGTTCTGAGAGAAAAGGTCTGCAACATTTTGCAACGGAAAGTCGCATGCCATGAAGTATTGAGAGTGTGTGCAAGGTGCACCCGGTTCTCCTCCAAACTTTGAGGAAGATCCATGCAGCCCGGATTTCTGTCATGTCGAAGCGAGAAGAAATGCTTGGCAACTTCAAACTTTCAACTCGCGGTTCCATCAGACGTGCGCCAAACATCGTGTCGGGGGCTTATGAGATGAAGAATTCCAACAGGTTACGAGGACACAAAAAGGGTCCACACCAGACTCAATGAGGCAGCTGTTGATGTAAACCCAGCGCCCCACCACCACTCAGTACCACAACCAAAACCAATTTCTCTGGTGTGGGCCCTTGCGTGTCCTCTCAACCTGTCTACTCTGCTCAGCAACATGAAGCATCAGACTTGGTTTAGGGGCAACTGTGTGGACTTGTCAAGACCACTTGGCTTGGACCAAATTGCCAGTGGCCAGTACCGATAGTTTGGGTCATTGAGGGCAATTCCTGTGGTCAGTTTGTCTTGCTGTCAACATCTCTCTCAGGACATGGGTCACAACGATCAGTAATCTCATGGGCCACATTCCGAATTTGGACGTCAGCCAATTGGTGGGCTCCTGAAATCTGTTTGGGCTGGGGCGGGGTGTGGGAGCTTGTCCAGGAAGATTGGCAGGAAGAATCATCAGTCAGACCTAGCATATGACACAAAAACTCATTGCCTTCGACCGTTCATACCTCACCCCTGGCCTCCTGCCCCAAGCCAAACTCAGGTGAATGACAACAACAAGAGGAACTCCAAGTCCGGGCAGCTCCTGGGGCAGAAGGCGCAGGCTGTCCGCAACATCATGGAGCACTATGACAAAACGTCACGCGATCTGCTGATTGCCTACACCATCGAAATTGGACATGAAAATACTCCTTGGACTGATGACAACCTGAGCAGCAAGAAGTGCTTGCCCGGATATCAGCCTTCTGGATGCAAACCTATGTTCTCAGGGCTTCTCATAAAGATATAAAGGTGGAATGTGATCGATGACATTTCTTTGTCAAAATTGAACAGATTAGCAGGAAGCTATATGTAGTAGTCATTATGTTTTGGGGTAAGTGGAATGTGAGACCTGAGACTGCTCAGAACAAGTCAAGTTCAGGGAGACTTCATCCGTTGCAAGCCGGCTGAGGTTCAAGAGCAACTCTGGTCCTGTTTGGCAAGCTCGGGGCAAGGTCACCAAGGAGAGCAACAAGTTGATGGCCTTTCGCTCGCAAGCAGGAATGACACTAGCTGTTGGTCATCGGGCACATCAGAGCCAACTTAGATATCACCAAATTCCCATGGTTTACGAGGCCCCCTTCTTATGTGATTTAAAATACATATCGCGCTGCAAGTTGTAGGTGTGCAGTTCCAAAACAAAGGTTTTTGCTGCGGTTGACTGAATGAAGCTGCCCAGGTGCAACACCAGATCAATTGCCACCGGAAAATCACGCCAACTATGCGGCGAAAGGTCGACAAAACGCAGATGGAGGCAACGGCTGAAGAAGCGGCCTTCGTGATATCGGTCAGGGACGAAGTCCTCCAGTTGATGCCTGTCAGCACTGACTTGCTGAATGAGAAGTGGGTCGACTTGTACGGTTCAGGAGATCCCACTGTGGTTCTAGAAGTGCAGAGCGCCGTCATGAACCGTGACTGTACGAATGTGAGGGACATCCCTTCCATTGCAGGAGTCATGAACATCCATTCTGACCAGGCACCGCTTCCCTCTGTGGCTGTTCATGAGATGAGCAAGTTGGAGGAGGAGACCTTCTCACTACGCATGAAACAATTAGAATATGACTTGCAGGCCATCCGGGTTGCGAAGGCAAAGAAGAGCTCCTATGAACTCCAGGTGCGTCACACCAAAATGCAGTACCGTATCAAGGTGTATGAGGAGTCTCAGAAAGCGGCAAAGATCTTTCTGAATGACACATCCAAAATCATCACCTACAATGGCTCTGATGACCTCGTTCGGACCCTCCAGTCCTTCATCGTGGAGAAAACACACCGGTCGAAGCTAGATGAGAGTGGGAACGTTGCTTGGCCTGTTGGAAGGTAAGTTGTGTTCGTTTCTGCTACATGGCATGGGCCCCTTCTTGAACCTTGGATGGGGGGAGTGGCCTAGAAATCCAATCTTATCTCCAATCTCATCCACACTGTCACCTATGATCAGCTCCCTCCAAACAAAATGTTGTTCAATCAGGGTGAAGTTATTTTTTACTAAGGCATGCTTGATCTTTCTGAACTGGAGCGCTCCAAGCACATTGAAGAACAACGCACGGGCATCGCAAGCTGCCGCAGCTGCCTTCCTGCTTGGCCAATCAGCTCGAAATGTTGGGCTGCTGCTCCAGCCAGAATTCACCTACAAGAAGGGTGAGCTTTGGATGCTTGAGAACTCCACCATGAAGCAGCTAGCCCAAAATGGAATCACCCTTGACAAGAGCTTCACATTGCAGTTCAAGGAGAAGGCACCAACTTTCTAAAGTGTCCAGCCCTTGCCTACACTGTGTTTCCTCTTCGAACTGTGGACTAGGTTTTTTAGAGCCTATCAAAAGTGGCAATTTTCCTTTTGGGTTGGACAGGGGCAAGGCCATGATGCAAGAACTTGCCCCTGTCCAACCCAAAAGGAAAATTGCCAATCAAAAGAATTAAAGACAGCATGTCATTCATTCAACAGGTGGATCAACGTGACCACGTGCGCCCGCTGAACTACCGTGGCCGCTTCCTCGAGGGTGTCAGTGCCAAGTCTCAAACAAAGGAGTTCTTGTGGCGAAGCTCGGCGTTGTGGCGAGATGGGAGGACAGCGATGGCTACCCAACTGCACACCAAGGATATGATCACTGTCGAATCTCCCCTAGAGGACCAGTCTCAACAGGTAGCTGTGACTGTGCCAGACGGTGAAGAATACCTATTCCACGGTGCAAGGAAAGTGGAACAGATTGGCCGCGATGGAGCGGAAAAGATCTTGGGTGGAATGCTGGAAGGTCTCTCTTTGACTGGGAGATCGGGTGTCTTCATCGTGGACTTGAACATGGGCACTGGGTCTATGTTTGATGCCTTTGCCAACCTCAAGCAGACTTTCAACTTCCCATGCTTCTATGTTGGGTGCACCGATGACTGTACCACCTCGGAATGGTTTGGTCTGCAAAAGACGGCCGCCCGCCTTCAGCTTGATCAATGCTCTTTTCTGGTCGGCCAAACCTAGTGGGGCAAGGCAAAGGGCCTTGGGCACAATGGATTGCGACATGGCAATGGGTAGCCCCATCAATTTCAAGTCAGGTGAGCAAGGGCTTTTCTTGGTCGATCTCCCCACATGTTGTCAATGATCAACAACTCACCCAGCGCCATGATTAAGTTGGCTTTTACTGATGGTGGTTCCACCAAAACACTTTCCCAGGAGTCTTTGGCGCGGCTTCACATGGATGGCTCTATGACAATCCCAGGGCTCCCAAAACCAGCTTTGGAGTGCCCCACAGACATCTTGGAGAAGGAGCCAGCGCCCCCACGCTTGAATCTTCTCACGCCTCGATCGGATCTATACCCAATCATCCCGCAGAACATCATGCAGGCCAGTGGAGTGAAACAAAGCGAACGAGCCGGTGTTGTTTTTCCAAGAGTCTAGTCTAGTTTCAGATCAATGAAACAGGGTTCCTTAAATAACTACACCATGCCAAGTGTTCAAATACCTTTTCCTGTCGGAGGCTCCCTCACGTTTCCACCCACCACCCCCAGCCTGATTCAGGAGTATGGAGCACACGAGTCGTTCAGCGAGGAGTTCAACTCTTTCCTCGACAAGGTGGTCGAGGAGTTTGGCCCAATTCCCCAAGACGAGAGCGCTGAAGACAAGAAGAACAAGGAGACTGGGCAGGACAACAAGGAGAAGGATGGCAATGGGAAGGACGAGCCGAACAAGGCGGAGGGTGAAACCAAGGCACCTCGCAAGCGCAAATCAGGTGGAGCAAACGGAGCAGATGCCAAAAAGCAAAAGGTCGATAGCAGCAAGGTGAAGACCATTGACTCAGTAGGCAAACAAGGTGCGCTGGTTGAGACACCGCTCATCAATGCCAAGATTGAGGGCGTTCAGCTCCACATCAAGAGCCAGAACAAACCGTACTTGTTCAACACAGGGGCCCAGGAAGCCTCATTGAAAGCAGGACTCATCATTTGTGGGTTTGGCAAGGGCAAGTGGAAGCTTGCTGAGGGGAGTCAAGAGAACAACCCCCGGACTGAAGTGCTATTTGAGCTCAGTGGCCCAGATGACCTGGCAACTTGGAAAATGAAGAAACATTTTTCGACCTTCGTGCCACAGAACCCCAAACAACCTATCCCCCCCAAACTGGCCGAATTCTTCCAATAAGCGTTGCCTTCAAATTCAAAGACACCCCAGCCACTCCTGTGCAAGCTCTCACGCCCGCCTATGACTTCTGACTCAGGTGCTTTTCAACGGACACCTGAAAACAGTGTTCGAGGTGGTGCAGGCTCAGCAGCAAAAGGTGCCAAAAGTGAGAATCGCGCACCACACCATGACTGAGGAACCGGATGCAAAGCGCCCAGGGAACTTCAATTTGAAAAGGTCCCACTCAGTCTGGTTTGTGCCACAGGCTGGCAATGTGTAGGTCAACCAGGAAGATGGGGGTGATGAGGAGGCACAGCCTACTACGGGGCAGCAGAACGCAGCCAAATTAGTCCCCAATTCGGCATGGAAAAGCCACGCTTCTGGGATCGTGTTTTCAGTAAAGTGGGGTGTGTCTGGGTTGATGCCCATTCGTCCCCAAGTTGTGCTGACACGAGATGTTGACCTGGCGCCTTCACGGTGCTGTGAATTGTTTTGAGTTTTCTCCAACAAGTGACTAGTTGCAAGGGCTGCACTCATATTTTGACATTGTGAGTGTAGATTATGGGGATTGCAACTCTTTCACAGTGAGTCAAATCTAGCTTTTGAGGCAGCCTGGGGGAGCCGGGGGCACTGCTTATCAAGAATGCAGGTCGACTCGTCACGCCCGTATTCTAAATTCTAAACCCATTGGGTAGTCCTAGCGCTTCTTCTTTTGATGTTGCCTGATCCTGGCCCCCCGATTCCGAGCCTCTGACTCTGAGCCACCAACTTCCGCAGCAAAGAAAAGGCGCGTCCGAGAAAGATCGAAACGACAATGGCACATGCAAATAAACAGATTTGAAAAACATAGAATGTCACATGTACCATGTATATGAACAAAGTCACCTTGGCTGAGCACGTGCAGAGTTCAACAGTTTATGTGAGTGCTGAGACCTGGGGCATGGAAACCTTGAGCTATGGGGTGTGGACACAGAAAAGTCGTTGGACAGATTGAGCCAGATTGCACCACTGCCGAGGCCGCGCGACGGGCACGAAGAGCCGGACACTGAAGGTCGGGCAGGCGGCGGGCTCTTGGAACATGCCCTTGGCACGGTTCTCAAAGATTCCGATTACCCCTTGTACTATCACAGGTTTAAGGCTTCCAAATCATGCCAAGTCTTGCCAAGACCCTCAGCTTTGATGTCTCACCGCTCGGCACGTCATGTCTGAGGGCCTGAGGGATATATATCTATCCTCGATGCATGGGCCTGACTGGCTGTTTTTCAGTGTTTGCAAAACATATTTGTTGCGGCTGTCAAGCTTTACAGCCAGCCACATTGGCATCAAGCCCTGCGTCGGGCACCACATCGGTGTCTTGTGGCATTGACCAGCGAATTGGGAAACACAAGTATTGTGGGCCACTGTGCAACTACCTTTGACAATCACACACGAAGATTGAATTTACTTTTGCAGTTTAAGTTATGATTCATATTGCTCCAGGAAACACACCAGGGAAACCTGAACTCAACAAAACTGCTCGGATATGTCAACCACGCCCCTTGAACCCAAGAACTTCTTGGCCATTCATTTTCCAACCCAAAAACACAACATGAGGAGGCAGCAACTGCCGGTGCCTTCAAAACATCACTGCTAGCTAGCAGCGTCGGCTGCGCAGGTTTTTGAATCCACTCCTGTTGCAAAGTGGGGGACATGTTACAAGTTTTTTTCAATAAAGTGGCGCCCACCAAAAAGGGATCTGGGCACAAAGGAAGAATCAATTGACATTATTATTGCTGTTGCGTTTTGGCCCGTGCAAGTGGCAATCCACAATGTGGACAGTACCGCCAACCCCTGGCCCTGTTGCCTTGCATGGAACTAGTATCACATTGGATACATCGGTCAGGCTGACAGCAGCTGGGTTCGGATTGGCCTGCGTGTCTTGATGTTTCCGAACTACGTGCGCACGCAGTGGCATTGCTCGTGCGCAGGTCGATTTGTTCAGCGACCGGGGAAAAAACTGTATTGACGGCTTGTCTTCGACGCTTTAGGGTTGGGACATCGTAAACCTCATTGAGGGTCTTTATAGAAGTCCCTGTAAGTACAGAAATCACCGCTGTACTGATGCGTTGGTCCTTCAATAATGTCACAGCGCTTTTCTTCCATGAGTGGGTCCCAATGCGGGAAAGGTCCACCTCGTCAAACACATGGGTCCTATGAGCTCGGTTGCATTCCATCCTCTCACGGGAAATGATCTCGCATGCGTTGGAGATTTGCTTGAGGTATGCCCTCTCGGAGATGGGTTTGTCCCAAACAATGTTGTTATGCCCTTGTCCACTTCGGCCACAAAACAAGAACATCTGCCCACCCCCGAAATAAGCTCCATGTAGATCTTGTCCTTCCAGTGGCCACTGTTTTTTCTCACTCTCCAAAGGATGTTGAGCAATCCATGCCCAAAGCAAGCGTGCAAAATTTGTTGGTAGAGGCACGTGGCGGGGCTGCGTTTTACCATTGATGCCTGTTGGAATAATGGCTTCTGGCAACCCTTTAGCGTCCGGGTGTAGATGACAGAACCAATCGATCCTGGCCTGTCGAGCGCAATCAGCCCTGTCCCCCCAAAAGCAGCTGGACTAGGAGCAACACACCGGCCCATGGTGCATGGGCTTTGTAAATGATGGTTTTGAAAAAACTTGCTATTTGCTCAGAAGAGAGAGCTTCCCGGCCACCTCGTCTCTGTGTATCCTTTTTCTGGCACTTTTTCATATGCTCCGAACTGCAGAACTTGACAAGTGCGGCCTGTGGCCGTAGAGGCCTGCACATACTTTCGTTTACCTTTTTTCGTTCTAACTGGTGCGGTCTGTTTTTGCAATCAATGTCCTTGCGGCGACAGCTTTTGTATCCGCAGACAATACAAACTTTACCTTTAATGCCTTTGCTCCTCACTGGACCTCGTTTTGGGACCACTTTTCTGGGTTTGCGCTTTGAAGTCGAAGCCATTGCTCACATTGACTGGTTTGGTTTTCGTTTTGATAGCTTTCAGTTCGGCCCTGCCCAAAACAGACTGTGACGATGAGCACTTCACCCTAGCAAAACCAAACTGTCTGTCACACCCTAGCAAAACCAAACTGTCTGTCACATTCACATCACAGCACGAAAAACCAAACTGCACGACACTTCTCTGTCACATTCACATCACAGCACGGCTTTGAGCCATTGAGCCGCCAACCTCTCAGTCAGCTCGCCCCCCAACCCAAAGTACAAAACAAGACTTAGGGCTCTTTTGTACTTCCCAAAACAAGACTTCCACCACAAACCCCTGTAAAAACCGGGCCCGGAGCGGTTCTGAAAACCGGTTCTGTTAAGGGGCTGGAAATGGAACCGACCCCCCCCCTGGAGCTTGAGCCGCCCTCCCCATCTTCTCTCCATCCAATCTTCTCTCCAATCAATCAAGACTGCCAGGCCGAGAAAAATTCAAAAACACTGCGTGCCAAGCTGTGTTATCACACACAATGCAGCAACAGCCAATCCAATCAAGCACTGCAACCATATCAAATCCAATTGAAATTAGAAGTATCAAAGCCACCTATCTCTCTCTCTCTCTCTCTCTCTCTCTCTTTCTCTTTCTTTTCTATTTCTTTGTCTCTTTTCTGTCTCTGTCTCTGTGTCTAGTCTGGCTCTCACCCCTCTCTCACCACTCTCCTTGGCTCCCAATCCGGGCCTCATTTAGCCAAAAAGCACCTGTACATACCCAAACAACATATTATCTTCAATCAAATTGAAAAACCATCTTGGTCCTCTCTGTCTCTCTCTCTCTCTCTCTTTCTCTCTTACATTCTCTCTCTTCTCTCTCTTCTCTCTCTTCTCTCTTTCTCTCTCTCTCTCTCCTCTCTCATTCATTCCTTTTTGCAAACAATGCAAAACGCGCAAGTAGCCTTCCATCCAAGCTTAGATGGCTTCTGTTCTGAATTCCTTGGCTGCCACCAGCCTGCTATGGCCAGGTCTCCTTTCTCAGCACAAGGCGGGCCACCCGCCCACCCACCCACCCACCCACCCACCACCCAAACAACAAAAGCACACAATCGGAAGAACACCCACCTACCCACCACCCAAACAACAAAAACACACAAA